AAAAAAAAACAAAAAAAGAAAAGCCTTTCTGTCAGATTAAGGTCATGAGGCAGGAGTTCGGGGCTGGAGAGAGAGCTTTTTCTAGGAGAAGATACTTCTGGAGTGAGAATGGGACTTACGAAGGAGCCCTGGTGGCTCCATGGTTGAGCATGTGACTGCTAACCAGATGTCAGTGGGTTTGAACACACCAGCTGCTCCGTGGGCGGACTCTGTGGCAGCCTGCTTCCATAAAGACTACCCCACAAGCCTCGAGCTGATTCCATCTCATAGCGACCCTATAGGTCGGAGTAAAACTGCTCTGTAGGGTTTGCAAAACAGGAGCAGGCACCTCATCTTTTTCCCAAGGAGCTGCTTGTGGGTTTGTACCACCAACCTTGAGGTCCGCAGCCTAGCATTTATTCCATATTACCCTAGGGATCCTTAGGAAATCTCACGGGGCAGATCTTCACTAGCCTATCAAGTCAGTATGAGTCAGAATCAACTGAGTGGCAACAGGTTGGGTTATTTTGTTTTGTTTTCAGGGCGTGAGGGAGGAGGCCTGGTTAAGTAGTGGTTCACCTGCCAACTGAAAGGTGGATGCCTCAGACCCACCCAGGGGCTCCTTGAGAGTAATCTGCTTTCCAAAAAATGATGCCCTAGGGAAGCCTTCTTTGTCTCTTCGCAGGGGTCACACGAGGCAGAATCAACCCAGCAGCATAGTGAGGGAAGCAAAGGAGAGAGGGAAGAGAGTTTCCTAGAGAAAACGATGTCTGCTGCACAAAACTAAGTTATACCAGCGATACACAACTATCCCATGGCTGGAATGCCCAGGCACTCCCCAATGGAGCAGGTGGAGGCGAACGCCCACTGCTATGGCCTCGACTAGTGCGTGGGCTTCTGATCTTTCCTACTGATTTGTGAAACTCCCCAGGGTAGTTAACAGGAGATGAAGAAAGCAAAGTACAATGAAAGGCATTAGATGTCAGGTGGGTGCTTACCCTTGCCATACACATTGAAAGAGCTGCATGCGAGAGGGTCTCCAGGGCACTGGTTTTCTCCCTTTGGGCAGAGGCCACACAGATGTGTCTACTCTGTGAGAGTGGATCACAATGTATGCTCAACTCTCACTGCCATGTAGTTGATTCCGACTCATAGCAGCCCCATGGAACAGGGTAGAACTGCCTCAGTGGGTTTCCAAATCCGCAATTCCTTATAGGAATAGAAAGCCTCCTCTTTCTCCCTCAGAACACCTGGTGGTTTCCAACTCCTGCATTCTGTGGTTAGCAGCCCAACCCATAACCCACTATGCCACCAGTTCTCCATTGCAATGTACACTTATGTCTGCTTCAGCCCACATGTTGTACTTCAGTACAGCACTCAAGAAAGAATCTTAAGCATTACCCAGGGCACGAGCCATGGTGCTTGACTCCAGCAAATAGAGTATGGGATAGAATGAAATAGAGGCATACCCCAAAGCCACATTATAAAAGCTGTATGGACTGAGCCCAGGGGCTTGGAACTTTATCCTCAGATCTATGAGAAGCTACAGAGAGACTCTGAGTGGGAGATAGGGCTGAGAGAGAGATCTTTAAGAATGTGGCCCCTAGCTCCTTGATTTCACTTTAGTTAGTAACCTTTGTCACACACCTTTCTGGATTTTAACCAGGCAGCATTCCCATGCTCTGTTCACACGACCGTTTCTTGGTCTATGTACAGGTTCTGCATGAACCCAATGAAGTGTTCTGGCATTTCCTCTCTTCTCGAGGCTATGCAGAGTTTGTTGTGATCCATACAGCCCCATGCCTTGGCATAGTCAATCAAACACAAGTGAGCATCTTTCTGGTAGCCTTTGCTTTCAGCCAAGATCCATCTGACAGCAGCGATGGTATCCTTTGTTGTGCAGCCTCGTCTGAATCCAGCCTGTACCTCTGGCAGCTCCCTGTCAACATACTGCTGCAACTGTTGCTGGATGATCTGCAGCCAAATTTTGCTTGTATGTGGCATCCATGACATTGTTCTACCATCTAGCTTCCTTTAGGACGGTCCAGATGCGGATCTCTTTCAGGCGGCTGGCCAGGCCTTCCAAATGTCCTGGCAAAGCCGAGTGAGTGCTCCCAGGGCTTTGTCAGCTTGTTGGAACATTCTGATGGGCGGTCTGTCAATTCCCAGACTTTGTTGTGGGCCAATGCAGCCACTCTGTGAGGAAGATGTGGCCGTCCGCTGCCGCTGCCACGAAGAGCTGCATGCAGCTTGGACTTCCTTCGGCACCTGTGTTAGCTCTTGAAGTGGTGGAATGTCGCCTATCTGTGTTGGATACAGTGACCCAGTGTATCCTTCCCATCATCTCTTGATGCCTCCTGGGCCCATGACGGTTCAGGAGCAGCATTCTGATCTTCTATATGGGAGACTTGGGCCTGACGCCCTGCCAGTGCACCTCATGAATACATGCTTGTGTGTTGCTTTGATGCTAAACAGATTTCAACGGAACTTCCAGGCTAAGATGGCCTAGAGAGAAGAGCCTGACCATTAACTTCCAAAAAAAAATCATCCAATGAGAATCTTAATGCTTACAAGGCTCCAATCTGCTTACTTGTACCAAGTAAAAGAGGGGTGAAAGCCTTAGGCAAGAACTGAGGGAGCTAAGGATCTCACTAAATCTGAGGACTCACTCCATCAGGGACTTGAAAGGAGAGATGAGACAGCACAGTTTAAGAGGAGTCTTAGGTGTGGGCTCAGGTGACTGGGAATGTGGTGGTACTGTTAGAGACTCAAGAGCAGGGGCATACTTGGTGGTGGCGGTGGGTGGGCATGCATCAAGTTTGAGAGCTGTGGAGTCTGGGGATCCTGGGAGACATCCAGACAGTGGTGTTCCTGGTACTCAGTAGAAAGGTGTGCGCTCAAGGCGTAGCTTTTGGAAGAATATATGAGAGTGCTGAAGGCATGCGAGTGGAGAGGTCCTCCAGGCTAATGTGCCCAGTGAGGAAGCCCAGGTGCCAAGGATGGAGCCTTCATTGACATTGACAGTATTCGTTTCCTTGGGCTACTGTAACAGTGCCACAACCTGGGTGGCAGAGGACCGCAGACAGTTATTCTCTCTTAGTTTAAAATTAAGGTGTCAGCAGGAGCCCTGGTAGGACAGTGGGTTACAACTTGGGCCGCTAATCACAAGGTAAGCGATTTGAAACCACCAGCTGTTCTGTGGGAGGAAGATTTGGCAGCCTGCTTTCATCAAGAGCTCCAGTCTCGGAAACCCACGGGCGCAGCTCCACTCGGTCTTCTAGGACCACTACTGGTCAGAATCAACTTGGTGGCAACCTGGTCGGTTTGGGTTTGGTTTCATGATTTTCCAGGCTCCAGATCATTGAGATCTGACTTCCAGGATCACCTCCCAACAATGGCAGTGTGGACGGGGACTAGCCAAGACAATACTGGCCCTCTGGAATAGAGTAGAACTGCCCCATGGCATTTCTCAAGCTGTACTCGTTCCAGAAACACACTCCCACATGGTTTTTTCCCCACAGAGCGGCTGGTGTATTCAAACTGCCAACCTTACAGTTAAGGCTGGAGGTTCATGTCCACCAGAAACATCTCTGGGGAAAGGCCTGGTAATACACTTGAGAAAGTCGGCCATTGGAAAGCTGTGGAGCACAGATCTACTCGAACATGCCTGGCATCACCAGGACTCAGAGTCAACCCCACAGCATCTGGTTTGGTTTGGTTGTTTTAAGGTGCCATGATAAGCATTTCTATATAATAGGCCATTGATATATCTGATCCTGAATAAGTCCTCATCTCTCAGGTATGTTTATCTCACCTGCATTATGGAAGTAGCTGCCCTGGGGACCACTGGGAGTCTAATTCGAATCACCTGATTAAAAGATACTTTGGCCAAAAATCATATCATTGTGAATGAGGGGGACTGTGAAGAGGGGACCCAAAGCCCATCTGTAGGCAACTGGACATCCCCTTACAGAAGGGTCGCAGGGAGGAGACGAGCCAGGCAGGGTGCAGTGTAGCAAAAATGAAACATACAACTTTCATCAAGTTCTTAAATGCTTCCTCCCCCTCCCCACTATCATGATCCCAATTCTACCTTACAAATCTGGCTGGACCAGAGGATGTACACTGGTACAGATAGGAATTGAAACACAGGGAATCCAGAATGGATGATCCCTTCAGGACCAGTGGTGAGAGTGGCCATACCGGGAGGGTGGAGGGAGGGTAGGTTGGAAAAGGGGAACCGATTACAAGGATCTGCATATAACCTCCTCCTTGGGGGACGGACAACAGAAAGATGGGTGAAGGGAGACGTTGGACAGTGTAAGATATGGCAAAATAATAATTTATAAATTATCAAGGGTTCATGAGGGAGGGGGAAGGAGGGGGGGAAATGAGGAGTTGATGCCAAGGGCTTAAGTGGAGAGCAAATGTTTTGAGAATGATGAGAGCAACGTATATACAAATATGCTTTACACAATTGATGTATGTATTGTGGTAAGAGTTGTGTGAGTCCCCAGTAAAATGATTTTTAAAAAATCCCTTGGCAGCACCCCATTGACGCTCATGATGTTTGCCTTGCAGGTGAGCCGGCCCCATCCCAGCGACCACCCTCTCCTGATCCTCTTCATGGTGGGTGGGATCACCGTGTCTGAAGCTAAAATGGTCAAAGACCTTGTGCCTTCCCTGAAGCCAGGAACCCAGGTACTCAGTCCTCGGGGTGTGGCAGAAGCTGGGAGGGCAAGGGTGAAGCTTCCCTAAGATTCCAGGGGCCCCATTCCTGCACTGTCTTCCAACCTCCATCCTACCTGCCAGACCAGCCCGACACTGCCTAGGAAAGTGCCAGCTCCCCCTGGTCAAGTCCATCGGGATGGGTTAACTTCTGTCACCAAGGCAATCTCCATCAGAGACACTCTTTGGTGTTCAAAATAAGTGACCCTCCAAATGAGGGAGTGGGGAGGCCATGGAGGGTGTGGGGAGAGTGTACCCTCGGAGGCCTTTGCTGTCCTCTAGGCCGCTGTGCTACAGGGCTGTCAACCCCACTCCAGCAGTTAAGTACAAATGGAACCATGCAGGGACCTTGATTACTTATATAAGCAGCCATAACATCATATTTCCACTACCTATCTGGTACTTAGTTAGGTAGTCATGAATTCAGGATTGTGTGTCACATCTTGAACACTGGACACCTCACCTGTGTCATTGTGCCACAAGGTAGGACCAGCTCTTTGGGAAATCACACCAACCATTGATTCTTGTTGAAATTGTGGACAACCAAAATCTGGGACATTATCATCTAGAAAGACCAATCTCTAGACAAAGATGTAATGTTCGGTAAAGTAGAGGATCTGTGAAACCCAACTTGAGCTGTACAAGCAGCATAGCCAGATGGCCTCCAACATCTAGACCTTGAACATGGGACGGAGTAGGCGACATGTCACTCCATCATGTGTGAGGTCGCCATGAGTCACAGCCAACATGGTAGCAACAAACAGCAAAACCACGGTGCCCTATATACCAACTGCTCTTCGTCCATATCTTCCCTAGTTGCACATTTAAGGGTAACTTGCAAGGGACCAAAATACACAAGCTCACAATCATCTCTGTGAAGTTGGATACATCGATTACTCAACAAGCACTTGATGGGCAGCATCTCCTGTATGGCCATGACTACGCTCTCTGCTGAGGACACGGCATTGGTTGAGCCCGATGAGCTCCTGCAGTCATGGAATGCCCCCCGTAACAGGGGGAGACAGAAAATAGATAAGGGAACTCAAGTTGGTGGTGAGAACCACTAAGCACATAGTGGGGTGCTCTCGTAGGGAAGCCACCAGCGGCAGGGGGACTGCCTTAGTTGATGTGGTCTCCTCCTGAAAGAGCCCCAGTGGTGCAAACATTTAAGTGCTCAACTGCTAACCTACAGATTGGTAGCCCCATAAGCAAATGTGGTGAAGAGAGCAGATGGTGCCCGGCTTTCAAAAGATATAGCATCTGGGGTCTTAAAGGCTT